TTTGGTGGGTGGTGAGGATGAGAGAGATGCCCCCGCAGAGCGCGTCGGCGCGGCCAGGCCCAGCAGGCGGCAGGCCCCGCCCGATGATAGAGAGAGACTCCGCGCCGCGGCCGCCACCAGTGAAATAGGGAGGGCAGGGCTGGGACGCCTTTCGCCACTCCGTCTCCACGCCGGCAGGCACGGGCGCGGCTCCCACCAGGAGCTCTGGTGACCGTCCTCGAGGGTAAGCCAGCACTTCTTGATGGTCTTGATGTTGGCGGGAGCCGTGAACAGATGCCACTGGTCATGCTGCTTATATCCATGCCAGGAAATCCGTGCTCAATGCGTTGGCCACGGCCGTGACAGCGCGCGAGGTCGCGCGCGTCCCCGCCCGCACCTGGGCGCGTGCTTCTTCCTTCGCAACTTTCATCTTCAACGTCTCAGCCGCCGCCGCATTTCTGAGAGAAGCCTGCAGCTTGCCTCCAGGACCAGGTCCGCGGCCTTGAAGGGCTTCTGGTTCGTCTTGCTCCTGGGGGCGTGGCAGCTGGCAAAAAGCATTGCCACGAGCCTCAAGATCTCTCGTGTCAGCCTTGTGCGGAGCGCCCAAGATCACCATCATCATCATCATCATCATCATCATCATCATCATCATCATCATCATCATCATCATCATCATCATCATCATCATCATCATCATCATCATCATCATCATCATCATCATCATCATCATCATCATCATCATCATCGTCGTCATCGTCATCATCATCAGCATTATCCTCATCCCCGGGGAAATCCTGTATTATCCCCGCCAGAACCCCGAACTTTCCTATCCCCAGGGGGTGATTATCCCCCGGTTGCGGTTAGCTTGTTGAATGCGAGGCGCCGAAGGAAAATGCTCAGGCTGTCGTTGGGCAGGACCTCCGATGGCTCCAGCGCGGCTGTCATCTGCATCGTTGCTGCATGGGTCTCGTTTTTACACAGAGGGCCTGCGCGTCCGGCAACGGGCGGACTCCGGCCGAGGGAACTCGAAACAGAGACGTCCTCAAACAAATTTGGTGGTCCGGGCCGTTTCGCCTGAGACATCCTCGCAACTCTCGCTTCTGAGTTGTCCGGGATTGGACGTTTCGCGTGAGACATCCTCCAAACTCTGAGTTCCCAGATGCCGCGCAAGAGGTGGTCCGGCCCGTTTCGCCGGGGACATCCTCGAAACTCTGAGCTCCCAAATGCCGCGCGAGAGGTGGTCCGGCCCGTTTCGCCTGAGACATCCTCCAAACTCTAAGCTCCCAAATGCCGCGCGAGAGGGTCCGGCCCGTATCGCCTGAGACAGTCTCGAAAATCTGAGCTCTGAGATGCCGTGCGCGAGTGGTCCAGCGCGTTTCGCCTGAGACAGTCTCGCAACTCTGAGTTCTGAGATGCCGCGCAAGAGGTGGTCCAGCCCATTTCGCCTGAGACAGTCTCGAAACTCTGGGCTCCGAGATGCCGCGCAAGAGGTGGTCTGGCCCGTTTCGCCTGAGACATCCTCCAAACTCTGAGCCCTGACATGCCCGTTTTGCCTGAGACATCCTCCAAACTCTGCGCTCTCTGATGCCGCGCGAGAGGTGGTCCGGCCCGTTTCGTTTGAGACATCCTCCAAACTCTGAGCTCTGAGATGCCGTGCGCGAGATGGTCCGGCGCGTTTCGCCTGAGACAGTCTCGCAACTTTGAGTTCTGACATGCCGCGAAAGAGGTGGTCCAGCCCATTTCGCCTGAGACATCCTCGAAACTCTGGGCTCCGAGATGCCGCGCAAGAGGTGGTCTGGCCCGTTTCGCTTGAGACATCCTCCAAACTCTGAGCCCTGATATGCCCGTTTTGCCTGAGACATCCTCGCACCTCTGCGCTCTCTGATGCCGCGCGAGAGGTGGTCCGGCCCGTTTCGTTTGAGACATCCTCCAAACTCTGAGCTCTGAGATGCCGTGCGCGAGGTGGTCCGGCGCGTTTCGCCTGAGACAGTCTCGCAACTCTGAGTTCTGAGATGCCGCGAAAGAGGTGGTCCAGCCCATTTCGCCTGAGACATCCTCGAAACTCTGGGCTCCGAGATGCCGCGCAAGAGGTGGTCTGGCCCGTTTCGCCTGAGACATCCTCCAAACTCTGAGCCCTGATATGCCCGTTTTGCCTGAGATATCCTCGCACCTCTGCGCTCTCTGATGCCGCGCGAGAGGTGGTCCGGCCCGTTTCGTTTGAGACATCCTCCAAACTCTGAGCTCTGAGATGCCGTGCGCGAGGTGGTCCGGCGCGTTTCGCCTGAGACATCCTCGCAACTCTGATCTCGGAGATGCCGCGCGCGACGTGGTCCAGCCCGTTTCGCCTGAGACATCCTCGCAACTCTGAGCTCTGAGATGCCCTGCGCGAGGTGGTCAGGCTCGTCTCGCCTGAGACATCCTCGCAACTCTGAGCTCTGAGATGCCGTGCGCAAGGTGGTCCGGCGCGTTTCGCACAAGACATTCTCGCAACTCTGAACTCCCAGATGCCGCGCAAGAGGTGGTCCAGCCTAGGGGCCCAGAAGACCATATTTTACATATCCTCCCTTGAACCCTGGCCCCAGGAAACCCCAGAGAGCTCCAGGAGGCCGCAGGACGCCCAGGACAGGCCCTAGTGGTCCCCAGGAGATTCCCAGGAGGCTCCCATGAGGCCCCAGGAGGCCCCCCATATCAGAACGTGTCAAGTTAATCCACATCCGGTGTCGATTCGTTGATTTTTCCTGCGCTTGTGGCTTCCTCCATTTTGAGGGGCCCAAGCGGCCATGTGTTAGATATCCCCCCTGGGAGCCCCAAGCGGCTTCAGGAAGCCCCAGGTAGAGTCCAGGAGGCCACAGGAGGCCCAGGATGAAGCCCCAGGAGGAAGCCCCAGGAGGTCCCCAGGAGGCCCCAGGAGGCCCCCGCAACTCGGAGCTCTGAGACGCCGCGCTCGAGGTGGTCCGGCCCGTTTCGCCTGAGACTTCCTCGCAGCACGTTTCGCCCGAGACATCGTCGCAACTCTGGGGTCCGAGATGCCGCGCGCGAGCTGGTCCAGCCCGTTACGCTGGAGACATCCTCGCAACTGTGGGCTGCGAGATGCCGTTCGGGATGAAGAGGCAGGAGGAGGGGGAGGAGGAGGAGGAGGAGGAGGAGGAGGAGGAGGAGGAGGAGGAGGAGGAGGAGGAGAAGGAGGAGAAGGAAAAGGAGATGGAAGGGAGAAGGATGATGATGATGATGATGATGATGATGATGATGATGATGATGATGATGATGATGATGATGATGATGATGATGATGATGATGATGATGATGATGATGATGTGGATAAGGGAGCAGGCAGGAGGAGGGGGAGGAGGAGGAGGAGGAGGAGGAGGAGAAGGAGGAGGAGGAGGAGGAGGAAGAGGAGGGAGAAGGAAGGGAACTGCAGGAGAGGACCTAACGGGAAGCGAATGTGACGTGGACTTGTCAGAACGTGTACGAGAGGTTGTCTAGCCCAGTTCGTTTGAGATATCCTTCCACTACTGAGCTCCAAGATGGCGCTCTCGAGGTGGTCCGGCCCGTTTCGCTTGAGCCATCATCACAATGCGAAGCTCGAAGATGTTGCGCGCGAGATGGTCTGGAGTGTTCTGCCTGAGACGTTTCCTAGCACAGGGGCTCCAAAATCACAACCTCTCTCATTCCTTCTCCCGCCTCCCTCTTCCCGCTTTACGCCTGGCTCCTCTTCCCTCCTCCCTCCTCCCGCCTCCCGCCTCCCGCCTCTGCCTCCGCCTCCCCGTCCCCGCCGTCGTCGTTTCTGCCGCCTCAGCATTCGTCATGCGCGCCCTGCCTTCCGCCCTCCCCAGACATCCGACGTCACGATTTTGTTTTGAGACGTGCGCCGCGTACCTCTCGATATCATCCCAACGGGAACCGTAACGACATGCGCCCCCCCCTTCCGCGCCCTCCCCCGCTTCCTCTTACAGTTGCTTCCGAGTTCACAGCATGGCGGTGGAGCCTCACACAGTGCCGACCCGACAGCTTACTCGTCGACCAGGTGAGAGAGCGTACGACACCCTCTAGCGTTAGCTTCCTGATAGGCATGCGTCACACAAGTTGTCGCGTAAACATATCATGTGCAAACCTCATGTTATCATGTTCTAACACGCCATGCCAGCCCGCACTGGACGGGCACGCAATCGACCTTGGAAACCGCAATGGGTTTTAAACAACCTTGTTTGGGGATACTGCACTGCAGCTATAATACAGAGGGCCTGCGCGTGCAGCAACGGTCCCAGCTCGTTCATAGTCTCTAGCTGCTGCATAATCACGAGGCTGAGCTGCGTGACATTCACGGTCTCGATCTATGTCTTTATCTCTCTTTGTCTCGTCTGCGCTCTCCACTGCGGCTCTTAGAATCACTTGTCTCCCCTTTGCGTCGACCGTGGGAAAGGGAATAACGTCGTCGAGATCCATCGCCACTTTGACTACTGTCGCTGTCGGTCGCCATGACTTCTGCTGCTGGCTGATGTGTAACCTGCTGCCAATGATATGGGCTGACCCGTTACCAATGAGGCGTCGTGGCGACGGCGGTGCTGGATACTGCTCAAAGATCCGAAGGGAAGGGGCAACACTTGTCAACGCCGACCTCCACTGCGAGCACGCCAGCACCACTAGCACAAAGTGGCCGAGGGCGAGGATGGCAATGCCGACATGGATCGCGTGCTGTGTCGCAGAAATTGAATATCTAGTGCCTGCTGTGTGGCAGGACTTGGATATGGAAAGAGGACGGAACGCTCTGGATGTCGGGAGCCTGCCCCACGAAGGCAATGAAATGGACACCATTTTGGCCTTGAGCCACAATGGCTACGGAAGGAGGAGGAGGAGGAGGAAGAGGAGGAATGAGGAGCGACAACAGAGGAGCGAAACGCGAGTGAGAAACAGGAGGAGGGGGGGACGAGCGAGGACGGCGCGTGAGAGGAGCAGGGAGAGGAGAACGGGAACGGGGACGAGTAGGAGTAGAGGCCATCTGCCTTCGGGCGTTGGCCGTCCTGCTCCGGCGCCAAGAGCGGCGGAGTCCGGGGCGCGAGCCTGCTCTTGCGCTCGCCGCCGCGGGGGGCTCACCCAGAACGGTCCCTTCGCCACACACTCCTCCTGTTCCTTCTGCCCTCTCCTACGCTCCTCCTGCGACGCCACGCAGGCAGCGGGGCCGCGCGTATTTGCGAGGAGCGCTGCAGCAGATGAGCATGCAAATCGCGGGGCCGCATCCGCCCAGCGTCTAAGAGTTGCAGCAACATGCTTGCAACAATTGCTGGTGTTTCACGTCCGCCTCGACCCCCCAGCCGTGAAGAGGAATACACACAAGAAACTCATTGGGCCATCCTGCAAATGTCGATTGGCCACACAACTCCTGTCCCCTCGGAAGTGGACCTGACCCGCTATCGACCAATGCGCAGCAGGAGGAGGATCTGGCCATCCTGATACGTCCAGCTCGAGCTAACGGCCACCAGCTTTCAGTCAGGGCCTGCAATGTGTCCTGGTAACGAGGCAACCGCTTCGCTCGGGAGCAGCGGCACGGACTGACTACCACGCTGCGCGCGCCTCACAATGAGTGCACGACGAAGGGCATATCAAATCGACTGTGGAGAGGACGACGCCCTTTCAAGAGAGGCATTTAGCTGAACGGCTTCGTGGGCATTTCATGTGGGGCGCCCCATCGCTGATAACGTGGCTTCGCGCAGGCGCAACGACATTACCTTTACAAAGCGAAGTCCGCGTCGAAGTCTCGGCAAGAGAACTGATCGCTACTGCTATTGAGTGGCCCTACCTGGCGGCAAGCGCTTGGACTGAAACTATTATAGTCAGTTCCGGCGTGGCGAGCAGCAAGCGACAGGCTGGTGCGAGACCCCATTCTCTCCGCTCGTGTCGCCAGACTTTCGGCCCTACTGGGGCCATCGTACTATCCATGGTCCGAGTGGGCTGGGCTCTGGCGGAACCGATCGGGTTCATCACAGAAGGGTGAGGTGGCTCGCCCTGACCGTCACGTCCCCTGCTATGATCGAGGCCTCATTGCGGCAGGCTTGGCAGCGGCAGGCCGCGGCGCGGGCGGCAGTGCAGCTGGGAGCAGGGACTCGAAGTCGGCCACATGTGCGGGATACCGCCGTGGGGCGGAAACTCATGAGTAGACTCGCGGACGGAATTGACTGCAGCCACCCGCTCGGTGCTCCGGATCTTTGGCTGTGCACGAACATGCAGAGCCGCCCAGGTTGCTCTGCGTTTGGCAACAAGCTTGGGCGGGCTCCCTCCGCGATGGGGGTCAGCGTCAACCCGTCCGCGCCCGTGGGCCGAGGGTCTCTGGCGTTTGTGGGTGGCGTGGGCCGACTGGGGACGACGTCGAGCGGCAATGGTCGCCTGCGACGGGGGTCGAACTGTCGGCGGGGACGGTGCCCCCCCCCCCACGCTTATAACCAAACGCAGAGGCTATCCCATAGCTGCCCAGTGACATTGCCCGGAGGCAGAGGCTGTCGAAAGAGGAGGCTTGTGGAATCTTGCTTGCAGGCTTGGGGTGGATATTGACTTTGAACCGGTTGCTCCACCACGCGGGAGTCGAGACGTCGTCGATTCGATCACGACGGGGGGGGCATCGACATCTCTAAGCGCGGCCGCCTCGCAAAAAGGATGGTATGGCGTGTGAGGACGGGCCACCCGTGTTTCATGTGCGCCGGGGTGGGCGAAAGCGCGGCAGAAAACGAGGGGGTGGCGGGGCACGCAACTAGGGGACCAAATGCGAACCCTACCCCTGCCCCCACGATTTCTGAGGGGGAGGGTGGGGTTCACTTCGCTCGGGAGCTCCCGGTCGAAGTGAACCCCACCCTCCCACTCAGAAACCATGGAGGGTAGGGGCAGGGTTCGCATGTGGCCCCCTAGCAACACCGCCCCGTGCGCTCGATTGACCCTCCTCCCAGAAGGCTAGGCGTTCCGGGGCCTTTTCCCCGCGTCCCGGGCGCGAGCGGGCGTGCGGGCCCCTGCGTCTGGGGCGAACCCCGCGGACCGAGGCCAGACCACGGCGGAAGCGGAGTACGCAGCAGAGGCGCCCCTCGGAGAGGAAAAGGCACGCCAAGGCGCCGGACAAGCGCTGATGCCATTGTCTGTGCGCCGCACCCGGCAGCAGGCCAACAAGCGCTACCGGCGCCCCCGCTGTGCAAGCTAGGCACGCCACCTCGCCATACTGTTGACTGCTTCTTTCGACGATTCCAGTGCAATCCTGACACTCGTGATCCTGATGATGCTATTCTGCCTCCTCCTAGCCCTCCTCCCTTTCCTGATCTCAGTGCTCTTGCGTGTCCCCCACCCTCGTGCTCAACTTTTTCCTCCTCCCAGTCCTCCTCCTCCTTCTCCTCCTCCTCCTCCTCTTTCTCCTGTTCATCCTTCTCCTCCTGACTTTCCATCTCATCCTCCTGTTCCGCCTTCTCCTTCTCCTGCCGCTCCCCCATCCTCCTTTTCATCCCGCTCCTCCTCCACCTTCTGTCTCCTCCTGCCGCTACACCCCCTTATCCTTCTCGTCCAGTTGCCCCATCCTGCTGCTGGGTGGTGTCTGAGGCCATCTCCGCATTCCGATTCCGATCGGTCTCATTTCGGCGCACCAACTTGCAACCCAGGAACAGCGATGGGTAGAACGTCAGCCCAGCCATACATCGGCCCGGCTCGGGCGGACAACAGCTGGGGGCCGACGGGGGGCAGAACGTCAGAACGATTGGCTCATTACGATTGACGCACCTCGCTCACTTCAAGCGCACTGTGCCCGACTCTAACCGACCGAAGCCTCGCGACGGCTACGGAGGGACACAATGAACAATTCTGGAACTCAGAGGAGGCTTGGGGCCACTAGGGCCGCATCTGCAAGGATCAGGAGTGAACGCCAAATGAGGGCACAGAAGGGATGGGCTCAACGTCGAAGATGTCGACCCGGGTCCGTTTCGGCGGCGAGAGGTCAGACGTCGGCCCGAGCGGTCCACGGATGGGGGCCACGGAGGATCAGGAGAGCTCAGAACTGGACAGCGGCTCGGCTGCCCCACCGCACCATGAACTGGCCCCCCTCCCCTCGCTCCCCACACCTTCCCCTTCTCGCCAGGAAGGCTGGCCAGGTTGACGATTCTGGCGGACGACACAGCTCAAAGCATCGAGCTCGGAGCCCGAATCCTCAGAGCCAACGCGCTGGGGAGAACTTCAGGTGTACCCCTGGCGCCGCGGCACAGCCAATGTCCTACAAGAGAAAACAAAGCAGGCCAGAATGTACCCACAGGAACGCTGGGAGAACGCACAAGTGGGAAATCAGGAAAAGTGAGTGGCCAAGAACTGAAAACAATACAAATCAAGTCACACTCGTTTCCCAAGGCGGGACAACGCGTGACCTAGCCTGGCCAACTTTTCCAGATTCCATTTGACCCCGCGCCGAGCGCTGGCGGGGGTCGCCCTCTCCCCAGCATGCTGGCTTTGAAGTGTCATTCGCCCGCAAAACAGTGAGCGGATTTGGCAGCTCGCGAACGCACCTCCTTCCCAAGACGCATCTCCATATGAGCGCGCTATTATCTCGAAAGTGCGGGCGTCGTGGCTCGATCGTGTTCACTCGGGCACGCTCTCCCCACGAGCACTGCCAGGAAGGGCCCAGCAAATTGAGTCGGCCTTCGACCCCGAGCCGGCGTGCACGTCGCCGCCCCCAACCTGGCGGGAGCTATCCCTCCGAAGCACGAGCTCCCACCCCGAAGCCCAAGAACATGCTTGCGGAGTCGGGCACTGAGGCAAGATCACACATGCCACACGGATCAAGAGACGCCTCGGCTAGCGAAACATCCGTCACGATGGTCGGCACACCCGTCCTCTCAGCCACCGCATTGCCTCGCCGAGCTTCCAATGAGAAATCCGAACCCTCGCCAGGCGCAACAACGAGCAGAAGGAGTGGACGACATATTTCGCCACCCACTACGGGTACACCGACGCACATCAGGCTTACAAACGCAAATGCTCGGGAGGGTGCAAGCGTTTCGGCAACCCGGGGCGAGGGTGAAGCGATCTCGACTCGCAGAATCCCTCCCCCCGGAAGCTCCGTTTGATTACGCCCCCTGCGGTAGGCAATCTCATCCTCACTCTTCACACTCACACTTCCGCTTCCCCCACGCCTCTCCCGCACTGGCCCTTCTCTGCCTTCCCCTCCCTCCTGTTCCCACCATATCAATCCCGCTTCTCCAAACACTCCCCAAGCATGTGAAAACGGCACCGTTCTGACGAGCGCTTGCCCACACACCGCCTAGTGTGTGGCAGCTCTGTATGTCTGCAGGTCCTCTCCCGTCCCTCTCACGCCCCGCTTCGACTAAGTTTCCTGGCAGCGCAGACATATTCAACAGAGTCTCCGGATGCAGGGCAGACTAATGTATTCAGCAGACATATTCAGTGCAGACATATTCGACCGTTGCGTGCTGCGCCGTGAACCGAACCTCTTTGGGTCGCCTCATTGAAAATCAACTACCTGGTTGTCAGCGGAGCAGCCTGGGAGAAAGGGAACGAGGATAATGAGTGGGGGCAGTAGAAGCAGGACGCGGAGACGAAAGAGTAGGGGTAGCAAGAGGAAGAGAAACAGGAGGAAACCGCAGGAGAAGGAGGGACGGAAGACGCAGGATGCACTGACGCAGCAAGGCGTAGAGGACGGAACGACATAGCCAGATACTACGAGAAATAATTCGCCTCGCCACCTCCTCTTCCCACTTCTCAGGAATGCGACTTCGAGCGGGGCCAAGAAACAATATGGGGGAGGAACACAAGGGCGAGGACGAGAAGGTGGATGAGGTGGCGGGAGGGGGCGGGAAGGGTGAAGCGGAGAAAGAAGAGGATGACGAAGAGGATGAGGATCAAGGAAACGAAAAAGGGCCAGAGGAGGCGAAGAGAAAAAGCGGCAGGAAAGGAGAGATCAGGGGTAAGAGGAGAGAAAGAGAGAGAGAGAGAGAGGTTGAGATCGGGCGAGACCAAGTACGTGCACGCATACTTGCATATCTCCAATACGCTGCTTGCACTCAGGGGTTCTTAGTTCAAAAGAACTGGGCCCACGGGCCGGTCTGGCGCTCTTGCTCGCCGTCGCCACCCTGTCGCCGACCTGTCGCCGCCCGTCGTCTGGGCCTGCGGGCCGCTCTGGCGGCTCCGTGCTCGCGCCGCCCCGTCGCCACCTCGTCGCCACCCGGTCGTCGAGGCCTGCGTGCCAGGCTGGCGGCTCCGTGCTTGCCGTCGCCGCCCCGTCGACGCCTCATCGTTGCACTGCTTGTCGTTGCGTTGCGTTGCCTTGCTTTGAATTGCTCTGCGTTGTGTTGCTTTGCGTTGCGTTGCTGTGCCTTGCCGTGCGTTGCTTTGCGGCGCGTTGCATGGCACTGCTTTGCTTTGCTGTGCAGTGCTTTGCGCTGTTCGTGTTGCTTTGAATCGCGCTGCATTGGTTTGTATGGCTTTGCATTACTTTGCATTGCCTCGCATTCGTTTGCAATGCATTGCGTTGAATTGCACTGCAGCCAACTGCTTCGATTGCACCGCATAGATTGCACCACGTAGATTGCGCAACATATTTGCACATAATCTATTGTTCAACTTAGCTTACCCCTAATATATTGCACAACATACTTTGCTGATAGACGCACTGGTGTGGGTCCACCCTGGCAACTCATATATATATATATACAGGTGTATACATATATGTGTAGGTATGTATGTATGTATGTATGTATGTATGCATGTATACATGTGTGTCTATGAGCACGTGTTCATCTTCGCGGCCATAACGCGCGTCATGCGGGGGACGGGACGAGGGGGGGGGGGGGGGGGCGTAACGTACCCCCCCCGCCGTGTGCCTTGGCACCACAGCGCCTGTGCGCGCCACAGCAAGCACCACAGTGCGCAACATAATATGCACCGCCGCAGCCACGTGCACCACATGGAAGATGTACTGCGCAGCGCAGATCTGCAACATCGTGCAGCACCAAGGTGTTTGCATCCTCCACACTCTCCTTCGAACGCCACATTATCTAGTGCTAGTGTTTTCTGCCGCTGTGTTGCACCTACGTTGCACAGTAAAGGAACTACAGTACTCAACCGCATCCAGAACCGAAACATAGTACGAACATTGTTTCAACTCTGTACCGCGCTGTCTGTTACCGATGCGTGCCGCACGCGTGCACCAGAGTGCTTGCGTGCACCACAGCGCCTGCGTGTACCACAGCAGACGCGTTCACCGCAGCGCCTGCGCGGATGTTTTGGATCTGCGCTGAAACCCCCTCCCTACCGCGCAGGGCGCGCCTGGGGCGGCGCCAGGGGCGCCGCCAGGGGAACCCAGCGCCGATCCCAGAAATCCCAAAAGAGCTCCGAGAAGAGATTTATGCAATGTTCTTTCGACCCTCAGAAAATCTTCTGCCTCAAGAACTTGGGGTACAAGCGTGCATAATGTTTCAAGGATACAGCCACCACGATCTATAACTCCGACGACGACTACTACAACGATCGCGACGACGATCGCGTCAAAAACGACGACCACACCCAGGAAGCCAACGCCAATCAGGACAACCACTACGACTCCGATCCCGACGGCCACACGACGATGATCACGATGACGACCGCGACGACGATCACGATGACTGATGACGGTCGCGACAATTACGAATACAACGACGACTGCGACTGTCACGACGACGGTCACAACGTCGACGACACGCCGACAACGACAATCGTAACGACCAAGATGAGCACGACGACCATGGCGATTTCAGCAACGACGGCGACAACAATTGCGACAAACACAACAACGATCAACGCGACCACAAAACAACCACGACGACGATTAAAAGGACACCCCGTTCCCATCTCCAACTCCTTCTCCTCCTCCTCCTCGTCCTCTTTTTTCTGATCGCACTGGTATTTATGCGATTGTTGCCACGATTTCTGTTGCCAATGCCACCACCACAACTATCGCGGCCTTGCCAGCACCCGAATACCGAATGAACCCCGCGCGCGTGCGCCAAAACTTCTGGACCCTGCATGTGCGACGAGAGCTTGCGAGCGCACCACCAGGTCTTCCAGCACGGGCAATGAGCCTGTCAACGCCAAGCTGGGCCACGAACGCTACAGTAGCCTGCAAACACCACAGTAGCCTGCGAGCATCAGAAAGGCAGTGCAAGGAACGCACTGGGGGGAAGCGTTACTTTATGGGGGGCATGACGCGTGTTACAACCCAGATTTTTCCAATACAAAAGGCATGGTATCTTCCCACATATATTTATATATGTATATCTATATATATATGTATATATACATGCACACACTCCATAGACAACTCTGGCAGGGACACCCGGCTCACTACAAGGGTGAAAGGGGGAAGCCGACCCCTATTTCCATGGCGACAAAACAGGGGTGAGTCCATTCGGACCCCCGCTCTTCTGGCGAGGGTCCGCTTGCCAATGCAGGGTGGGCGGGTGGAAAAAGGGAAGCTGCAGCGCGGGCTGAAGCCAACGGCTGCGGAGCGAGAGACCGAGGGAGGAGAAGAAAAAGAGAATGCGGCAAGTGCCGGATTACGCTGTTACTGTATAAATCCTATAACAAAGGCAAATCTGGCGAGGACGCCCGGCTCACTACAAGGATGCAATGGAGAGGGCGACCGATTTTAATA